TCAATATCAATTTCAAAGTGGACTTTGCCATAGAGCACTTGAAGAAAATTGGCCGTGCATATTTTGGTTTAAAAGCAAGGAATGATCAAGAGCTCAGGGGCATGGAGGAGAAGATATCAACATTACAGATTGAACTATCTGACCTGGAGGAGAAGCGCGCTAAGAAAGTAGAAGAGCAGAATTCTAAGGTGAGGAAGGAGTGTCTGCGTGATGCGGAGTATTTTCGGGGCAAATCTCTTAGTGCTGGCCTATTGCGTTAGTATCCTCTCAACTAGGTTTGGATTCTTTCCATCAGTGTGCTAGAAGATATATTCTGCTACCTTTTCCGTTTTCTTTAACAACGTTGTATCATATAGTAAGGCAGAAAGTTTCTGGAAAGGAGAGCATGCTTCCATTCTTTATTAAACTTTTATTTATATATGCTACAAGACTATACAAATTGATAAATGATAGAGATTCAAATATAAATAGAAATACTTACATCTATTTAAAAAATTTAGCTTCATCATGACAATATTCAACCTTTTTATGTAGAGTGAGAGTGAAGTAAGAGTTTTGAAGAGAATACCCAACAATAAAAGTTTAAGATTTTATCTTTAAAGTTATAAATTGAGACAGAATTATATTTTATTGTGTAATCTAATCACATATAATCAAGTTGATTGTTCAATGAACTTAGTTAAACTTTTGCTAAGTATGTCATGCTTTTAGACTTTTAATTTTGTAATTTTTTAAATCCATAGAATTTTTTTATTCTCTAAATTTATCGAAACTATAAGGTATAACTTATCAAATGATAATCTTCCAACAATCATTTTTTCTAGTGAAGGAGAGAATCGATTAGTAAGGGTTTTCGTTTTTTTTTTTAATTTTAAAATTTTATAATATTTTTTTAAATATAATTTTATTTTTATGATAAATTTTTGTTTAGTAAAATATCTCAAAATAATTAATTAATAATTAATTTTAATAAACTTTTATACAAAAAAATTAAATCTAATGACTGTTTTATAAATATTATCTTCACTTCAAATACAAAATTTTGACTCGACCTCTAATTCTTTTCCCTTATAATCCTAAAACGACTATAGTGTGTTGTACGGCGACGTACAGGCAATTAATAGTAATCATTTTGCATTCGCCCGGTGAGGAAAGGCCTCCTGCAGTTACCCAGCCAATGAGCCATTACATAATGCGTGCGCACATGAAATTCGAAGGAGCTTGCGCTGAAGCTCAACACCAATTTTTCTTTTTTCTCTTTTCTCTCTGATAGAAGATTAATTTTTAATAATTACTTGAATTACTTTTAATTTAAATAAATAATCAGTTCAAAACTATGTTAATTAATATCGTTATTATATATATATATATATGTGTATATGAAAGTATGTACTCTCATTTACCAACTGATAATTTTTTTTTAAAAGATAAAATTTCATTGAAAAACAGGGAGTGGGGCTCCCTATGGACACCAACTGATCAATTAACCTTGTCATTTGTGGGGTGTTGGAGCTACCAAAAGATGTGATAAGGAGCAGATCCATAATCAATTAGAATAAAATCTTGTTCTTGGTGTGGAACGTTAGTGAAAGATATACCTAACTCAAACGGTATCAAGAACTTGGAAGGAATCCGATTGGTACCTAATGGATCCTTTTCCCTCTGATTTCCCAAGAAAACAAACAAGATATTCTAGTGAAAACAGCCTATTTGAATTAGATTATTCTTTGTCTATCATTAGAGGATCTATCAATATAAAAATGAAAAAGTAAAGGATTCAATCAATGACCCACCACCACCCACTGCTTAATTGCCTTTAAATGTAACGCATCCACACATATATATATGAGTTGGAGAGTATGAATAGCATCTCTCTTCGATCATGTAATGAATTGAGTATTCATTATTTGTCAGTTCATTTGTTAAAGAATGTTGAGTTAGGCAACTAACTCCCCCAGCTTGGGAACATTATTGAGTTATTATCATCAAAGCTTTCAAATATGTGTAGTGCTTCTGGACCAGCATTTGTGTTATGATGGAAAAGCCTAATCTCTGGGGTGTTCCTCAAAATTAGTCCGAAATTATCCTGACTTCGAGGGCAATGACAATGGAAGCAAAGACAAAGACATTAGGTAGAGGAATTGATGTTTAACACAACTGATGTAAATGAGAACAACTAGAATTTTTAACTATAGATGATGATTGAGTCAAGCATGTGATTTGATGTCTTCATTCTATGTTCTAGATGTGGGTGGCAAAGACAGGAAACAAGAAACCCAAGGTTAGGTGACATAGCTATGTAGGTTTAGATTGGGACAAGGGTTCCGATGAGATTTTACTGATCTTCCCAAATTTCAAACACTCTATTGGTGAAGGACAGAGAAGGAGTATAAATGTATAGGATGGAAAGCAATATTCAATGATGCAGTTGACATTTAGGGGCAGCATCATCTTCATATTTAATGATACAATATTAAGCAGACATGGCTAGGCACTCGACTCTTCATAGTTAATGATTCAATCCGCCTTTACCCATGGCCCACTCCTTGGCTGTAACAAGAAAATACAAACCAGTGCCCTATGTCTAAAAGGGTAAAGTCAGTGCTAGCCTAACTAAGATTACCCAAATACGGAAAAGAAGAACAAGCGAATGGCCTAGAATTTGGGTAAAACTAGGAAAGTTAGCAACACCACCGGTAAAGGAAACGCTTGCAAGATAAGCAGGTGTAGCAATGTAGGCTGAAACAGGAACTTCTTTTTTTATTTATTTTTATCAAATTTTCAGGTTTGACAACCATGGAAAT